CTGAACTCCAGTGGTGTAGGTATCTGACTATGGAGATCTTAGGGTAAAGCTAAAATAATGGTGGTAGAATCCATGCATTTGGAATTGAACTGAACTGCTGGATAGCTCAGTGGTGTAGGTATCTGACTATGGAGCCAGATGAATATGTTGCCCATTCTTTTCCTTTAGGGAACAGCAACCCGGAGGGTATAATTAATATGAAATCACAGTACTGGAGAAATGGATTGTGGGACTTTATCACTGAAAATGAGAATAAGATAATCACAGCAGTGATTAAAAGTATACAAACTCTCTATTTTATGTAGCTGTTTCTATATAAAAAAATAAGATGACAGCATAACAGGTTGAGGTTCATCACCTTCACAGATTGGGGAACTCAAACTTAAAAACTTGAAAGAGGCTGTCCAGAATTTTGTAGTCTGGTACCACTAATGTGCTGATGACACCTGATTCCATCTGCTTTTTAAGATCTTCCAGGAAGCCCTTCTCTCAGTCTCTCAGGTGTCAGTGTGTGGTCACCCAGCCCCCCTACCTCCTGCCAATTTCGAAGAAACAATCGATGTAATGAAACTTCTTGTATTGAAGACTGAAATGTACATTGAGGCAGTAGCTGGGACTGGAAAATATTTTAATACATGCAGGGAGCGTTCAAAGCACAGCGGTCTCCTCTATTTCAAGGTAGACCAGAATCACAAGCATTTTTAGTCCCCTTCTAGTTCTTTTTTTTTCTTCTCCCTGAGGAAATTCTTAAGTCTGCTCTGTCTGCTTAATTCCATTGAGTCCCTTTGAAGGATGAGCCCTATCAGACCACCAAACTGTTCTCCCCAGTTTGGACTCTTTGATCTCTTCAACTCTCCCACCTCATCATGACTGACTGAAAAGTCAAACTGACTATGACAGAGACTTTAAGTTTTCCCCCAAAATTTATTTAGCCAATGCAACAAAATAATATTTCTAAAAAGTTATGTACCAAATACATATCTATCCTTGATAGGACATATGGCAGTGACAGAAGGGGATCTATCACTACGAACACAACAAATT